GAATAATTAATAAAAATAATTATTAAATTTTATTGTTGGGAAATAGAAAATGATGATTGAAATAAAAAATAATATGTAAAAAATAATACGTAAAAAGTAATACTAAGTAAAAAATTGCTAAATTTTTTATTTTAATTACAAAATATAAATGTGAAAAAAAATTCAAAAATTAGATAGTTTATATTTTAATTAATTTAAAACTGATCATTTTAATTATGTATCGTTAGAAGTAAAAATATTTACCTGCATAATCATGTCCATTAAATTTTCTAGTGACTATTAATGTAGCAGTGTAGCAGTGTCTACAATTTTTTTAATTGTTGTGTATGTGCGTATGTGTGTTCCATACTATTTATGATTTTTTAGCTACCATCGATATTATAATTCTTTAATTATACAATTCTATTATTATTAAAATACAATTCAATAATTATATACATTAAATATATATTTTTTCAATATAAACATGAATGCTGCATTATTTATATTTACTCTTGAAACTTAAATCGCATGAATTTTCTCTTTTTCAATGATTCATAATTTCAAAAATATTATTTATCTAATATATAAAATGATTAGTTTCAAATTAATCAAAATATAAGCTATCTAATTTGTGATTTCTATTTTTATATTTCTCTATTTTGTAATTAAATTAAAATAAAAAATCTAAAGATATATTTTGCGTAGTATTATTTTCTATTTCAATAATTATTTTCAACTTTTTAACGACAAAAAATTTAGAGATTATTTTTATAAAAAATATAAGTAAACTATATAAAATTTGAATATTACGTGCGCGATCTGTAAATATGATCTATTCGTTCATCTCTTGCTTGTGTAAAGAGGTAATGGAAAAAAACTTAGGTTTGAATAGACTTATTCTTTTCCTCATTTATCGATTCGTCATCTTTTTCTAATGCTCGATCTTTTATTGTTGTCTATAGCCACTAATATGTCTGTACTATAGCTTGTTTTCACAATAACGTTTATTCAATTCTTAACAGACTTAAAATTAATATAAAATATTATTTTTTTTGCTTTAAAGCTTAACTCTTAAACATTCATCACATATTAGACTTTTATCTTGTTTCAATGATTATTATCTATTTAATCCCAACATGCTAAAGAAGAATAATACGTTTCATGCATGTGAAAACTTTTATGCTTTGCATGACTGGACGTCACGCTGTAATTAAGAAAATGAAGTGTAATGATGACAAAGCGAGATATGCAGTACCATTGACTTTATATAATTCGCGGCTCAACGCTGCCATTATATTCTTTCAATGTTCGCAGGATGAATATTGATTCTTGTTAGCTTTATAAATTTCATCGTGAATACCATCTACGGGAAGTGTGGCTATAAAACTAATGAGAGTTGAAGTGTTGAGGAAGATAAAAGACCTATGTAATTTTTAATTACAAAACTAACTAAATTAATTTCTATAAATATATATTTTTATTAAACTTAATTTTATATATATTTTAACATTTTATTGTAGTTTTTTCCTTTATCATGTACAGAGAAAGAACTATAAATATTGCTGCAGAATATAAGCTCTAGGCGAAGGATCTGCTAGGTAAGCTAAGTATGCAATAACAACAACGCTTTGAGAGCACTTATATTATCTGGTTTATTATAACAGAGCTGTTAAAACGCCGAGGAACGCGAAGGTAAAAAGTGAATTTTAAATTCTATAAGGTATAATAATGAGATTCCATGTCTAATCTCGATCTCAGGTAAACGAGTTACTATCGATCCTTCGCTTTAGGCGTGCACAAATATCCATATTCACGTTAACTAGATTCTTGCAGGTTCGCGTGGTACATCTCGGTAAACGCTTTAACACCCATAGCGTGCACCTCCTCGAATCCGAATCTCTCCAGATTTTCCTTGCAACGCTCGTAGTACGCGGCAACGTTATCGTAACGGCTGATGTCGAAGTCAAAACACTGCAATTAAAAAATCGGCTTCGATTTATTTGGATACGACTAATCGATAAAATCATCCTTCGCGAAGATATAGACTCACTAGTACTACACAAATAGTTGTACTGATAGTGAAATCGGCGATGGTCAGATTATCACCGGTCGCAAATTCTTTGCCGTCGAGGAAAGCGTTGAGCACTTCAAACGATTTCTCTAGTTGAGCTACATCTGCTTCATTAACTGAATCCGCTTGACCTCGACAAAATGGCATCTAAACGATGACAATTTTATCCATTGTATCTCGCGCCAACAAATAATATATAAAAAAAGAATTGTATAATTTTGAATGATCCAAAAAACAGACGATATTTTTTAATGAACGTAAAAAAAAATAAATTTACTGAATACAGCTGAATAAAAACTAACAAGAAAAATCAATTTCATTAAGGATAAACATTATAATATACTGTATAATTTCGAATGTTCCAAAAATATAGACGATATGTTTTAATAATAATTAAATGATGTAAAAAAGATAAATTTACTGAATGCAACTGAACAAAAACTGATGAGAAAAATCAATTTCATTAAGGATAAATGTTGCGAATTCAATTGTAATATTAATTAATAAAATTTTAGAATAAAAATCAATGCATACATAACAATTAAATATTTTAGGCCAGAGGGTGCCACCATCGAAGTACATCATTTGATCGACTTTTGCCCTTTCTTTCGTATCTTTTGGATAAAGGGAGTCATTTCTCGCGTATTTGCTCACTAAATAAGCCATAATAGCACGACTGTAATGACACAAATTGTGAAATAATGTAATTACTTAGCATTATTGCTTGATTACAGATTAGAATATAAATCCATCGCCTACCTTTCCCATAAAATAAAACCGTTATCATCGATGACTGGTATTGTATGTTGCGGATTAATCTAAAATAAAACTAAATTAAAATTTGATTCTCAAGCATCAGTATTGTTTCACTATGTCACAGTATGTCATAATACAATAAATATTACGTACATAAAACTAAAGTGACAAATATTGTCAATAATATTGATCGTGTAAGGTTGTAAAGAACGTAAGGTTGTAAAAATATTAATGCAGTATTGTCAGTATTATTAGTTCAATATTACTGATCAATATTATTAACCGTGTCATCTTAAGAGATACTACAATAAATCTTTTGCAAAAATGAGAACAGTATAAACTGAAATACCTGTAAAAATTCCGGCTTTAAATGCTCCCCCATTGGAATGTTTACGATCTTCAGGTTAAAGTGAATGCCTAGTGCTTTTGCGAGTAATATAACAGTGCGACTAGGTGGACTTACAGGGAAGTAATAACAATCAATCGGCATCTTATTGCTGCTTGTCTTCGCTTATCTGTTTTTTTGTTGTTTTTTTACGTCTTTTTCCCTTTCTCTTGTTGTCTTCTCTGTTTCAGATTTTTATACTGCAACTTTAACCAAAGAGAAAAACTTTTTAAATTTGTAGACCTTAGATCTACATCACAGCTGCGTTCAGAAACTTCACTTGGATCTATCCAGGTGTCATTTTATCCTTGTTTAACATTCAGTGTGTAACAGGAATAAAATGATGTATTCTGAATTCTTGAACACACCTCTGTACCGCCGCTGCGTACGAATTTTCATCGTGTCTAGTTTTAAAGCAGGATGAGATATCTTTACAGGTAACTTTTCCTATCATTTCTGCACGAGACACGCATAATATTCGACAAATGAATACAATTTATTACAAACAAAAAGTTTGTAAGAAAAAAATGTCTCTCTTTAATAATTAATAAAGTCATAATAATTAAAGTATCAAAAACAAAATTGTTAAAGTGTTGAAATAATAATGAAACTGGATGTAAAAAATAAGATGGGAGAAGGTGAGAATAATTAAATTTTCTGTTATAAAGGAACAAGTTTATTATAAATGTTATTTATTAATTCAAAATATTAAATTAAGCGTTAATAGTGCAAAGGGATATTTGTAATACGCAAATAACGTGAATAGTTACATCTCGCAGCATAGCAATCGCTCCGTTCCAATTACCGTTAATGCAGTAATTCCGCTAATTAATGCGTCGTTTAAATGGCTTTCAAATGTGACCCTTACCTGTGACCCCGCTCAAACTCGACCAATTGATACGAATCGATGATACTTGCAACTGTTAGACATCAGCTTAATTAATTAGCTTATCGTTCATTCGGGCGATGTATGTTTATACCGGAAATATGTCGCTCATCACCTCTTGTAATGGTAATAGTTCATTGTAAGAATTATTCGCGACGTGTACAAAAGTGAAGAAAATGCGCGCGCACAAACGAGGCGCAAAGTTACCATAGCAATAGCGTATCGCCAAACAAAACCGCGAAACTCCAACGTTGACATTATCCGTTACGATCGAAAGTTCCCGGTAAGGTCGATCGATCGGTTAATAAAAACAGAAAAGAACTTGCCCAGTAAATGGAACTTTACTATATTGGTGAAATATATAGTAAATGGAGCAGCGAAAAACATGTTGAAAGATGTATTCTTTTATTTGAATTTTATTCGATATTTTATTCAAAAATAGAACAATTGGCTAGATACATATTTTGTTTTGAAAGGAGTTAAAATTTCATACGTCAAATGTATATTTTTGATATATTTCACACGTATAACCTTCATCCCCTTGTCTATAAAATATTTTATAAAGAATTAATTCAAGATATTTATTTTTAGCTGCATATAAATACAGTGAGTATTTGTACGGGTGAAATTAGAAAAAAGTCTTATTTTAGAAAATAAATACTGATTAGCAATTTTTTACAATAAGTACAATTTGTCACATCTGCAACTTTGCGAGTCTCTGATGCTAGAAGCTAAATTTCTTGATGTGAGTGATCTAAATAACACAATTTTACATTTTCGCTTATTAAGATAATAAATTTTAATTATTATCTTGTATATCTTTATGATAAAATAGTTTTGAAAAAAATATACATTATCTTATTTTTTATTATGATTAATGAATTACTAATTAGTGTTTATTTTTAAAAACAAGATTTTTAAAAGAATGTTCCCTAATACTGAATATTTTTTGCATTCACTATATATTCCCGAGATACTGTAAATTCTCGACAAAATATATTTCTGTGTAGTCCATAAGTAATTTCTGCTATCGAAAATTGTACTCGGCAAACCGTTACGTTGATCGACAATTATGTCGGGCGTTACGTTGACCGTTAGGTAGGTTCCTTAATTCTCCAGCGCGAAAGTGGTAATTTCAGTGCAACGTGGTCGTCGCTTTTACATCGCATCGCGTTAACGATTCCCGTAGTGGTTTTGTTTGCGTCCCGCCATTCATTTCAATAAATTTCTTCCGTTATTGCCGTCATCGCGATAGGACGTCTACGGTCGTCGACCTCATTTTTTAGAATGAACTTCTGTTCGCTAATATGACGTTCGCGCCATGCGGCGATATAATTTTAATTAGCTTTAGAAATGCACGCTCGAATGAGAAGATCGGAAACGGCGGAACGGCGTTGCAGTGTCGTCGCGTGCCAATTCAATAACGCGTATACGCAGACCACTGCTAATTGCCTCGGTTTAGTTCCGGCAGCAATTTGCGGCGGACACGACGCTCTATTGACCAACACGAAAGAAAACGGAGTGCATGGATTCGATCGGACGTTACATGGACGCGCGATCAACTGTATTCCCAGCAACCGGATGTAACCAGCTGATGGTACCAGTTTAGCGATGACTTCTGCAGTCGATAGCGCGTAGATGGAACTTGATCAAGTTATTATTTGAAGGAATTTTACATTTATCCACACAATACTGTCTAGAAGATGTTTTTAATGTTTTTATAGTGTCTTTTAGACA